GGGGCAAGTTGCGGTAGCCGCCGATGTCCAGATGTTCATGCAGGTTAAAGTGCCCGAAGGGCAAAGGGACGCTCCACGGTTGAGGTGGTGGCCGGATGGAGACCTAGACGGACCTGCCCAGGAGTATCGGATGACAGTGCACCCGTTTGGCACGATATCCTCTCCCTTCTGTACAAACTTCGCGTTAAACATGACCATTAATAAATTTGATCAGCATTTCGAAAACCCGATGGGCTCCCGTGTTGAACATAACTTTTATGTGGACGAATTCCTTGGATCCTTCGATGACATCGATGAAGCAGTTCAACATATTAGGGATTTATCCAAGCTACTGCTAATGGGAGGGTTCGAATTGGCCAAGTGGATGTCCAACAGTCTTCATGCAATCGATTGCACTCTGGTTGATGAGCAATCACCGAGTCTCCGTTACTTGCATGGGCGTCCGTTATCAACAGATAGGGCACTTGGTGTGCAATAGGATTCGGAAAAAGATGAGCTTCTGTTCCAACTCCAGCTACCCGGAAAGATGGCGACTCACAGAGGGATTATGTATTCGTTGGCCAGCCTTTACAATCCAATGGGGTTCGTCGCACCGTGGCTACTACCGGGCAAGATTCTCCTACAAAACCTGAAAAGAAAAAAGGTTAATTGGGATGAAACCCTATGCGAATCGGATCACAAAACCTGGCAAAGCTGGTGGCTGAGCCTGTCCAAACTGGGCGATATATGACTCCCTCAGCCCATACCAGAAATACGCAAAAAAGAGAGCAAAGTGGGATTCACGTATTTGCGTCGAAGAATGGATAGGGGTAGTGGCTTACAGTTGCCCGTCTCGACCAGGTAGAAGGAAGCAAAGCAAAGGCCAGGGTCGAACATCTAAATGCAGTCTCAATAACCAGGCTGAAACTGGTCGCGGCAGTATTACCGTGAGGGTGGCGAAGATGCTAAAAGGTGTTTTAAATCAATCGAATGGACCGTTACCTACTGGACTGATTCCGCTATAGTTCTTCACTATGTTAACTATGTACGGACGCGCTTCAGCACATTTATTGCCAACCGGACACGACGAAATGGAGGCGGGTCAATGGCGGCACATAAAATCCTGTGACAATCCAGCCGAATACCGCTCCAGGGGTGTGCTGAACTTGGGAAAAATCAAAACATGTTTACATGGACCGGCTTTCTTGACAGATCAGCCCAGCGAATGGCCTGACACTCAGATTCCCCTTATNCGTTACGTTGGTCGCTGCTTTAACCAACATCTTACTGCAGAAACGGCATTGTTTTTCACGATGGACGGTGCTGAGGATGGTTGCCTGGTGGACCGGGGTTCAAACGAAAACTCGCTATTATGAGAAGACTCCGACCTGACGGCACCTTGAATATTGGGCCCATCGTTCCAACTGAATTGAAAACAGCAGAAGCTGGTGTTGTTTGCATGGTTCAACCACAAGCCTTCCCGTCGAAGCTTCAGAGGTTGGTAAAGAAAAATCGTGAGAAATCGTTACAGTTTTCTCCGAAGACTCTATCCAATATTGGTAGATGGTTTGCTGAGAGTGGGTGATAGATTAACAAACTATGAATTGGATTTTGATGTTAAACACCCTATCACCTTGCTCAGCAATTACTACACCACACACACACTCATCGTACATATTCACACGCAAGAAGGTCTTGCAGGGGAAAATCACCTACTCAACACGATTCGCCGTCGGTTTTAG